AGAAGAGCAATGATTTTCAGTGTGTCCTGTACCTCACTGCTGATTGAACTCCTGCTACACTTCCCATTTTATTGCCGGAGAACAGAATGACAAAGGGGAGAGGAAATTTCACCTTAACATGAACATGTCACTACACCCATTTAGCTTATGAAAGTAGCCTTAAACGTGCTTGGTGGCCCCATACTTACCCCTACAGACTCACCTTGTAATCAGTGCAACCTCCTCAACACTACCACTTCCATGTTATTGGTATATGTATATGTGTGGTGGTGGGGAAGAGTGGAGACACATCTACCTACTTTCTCCAGTAATGCATTTTCGGCATCTCCAGAACATTCACAGGGATATCTGGAGATCTTTGCAGATGTCTGTTGTACCACATCCAGCTGCAAGAAAATAGCTGGATGTGACTTGCTCATCCTCCACTCTCCATCAACATGGAAATGGCCATCTAAGCTAGCCTGTTTACAATGTGAGTTTTTGGAGTAGCATTGGGAGGCATGTGAGAAACATATATCTCCTAATGCAGGATCTCAGCTAAATATTTTGAGGATTATCCTTAGGGAACAGGGTAGTATGGGGATGGCAGTTAACATGATATTAATGAAAAAGTGCCCATGCTTTGGCCCTGTGAGGCCTGGCTCCCCTACAAAATGTTTGAGATATGTAATAATAATAATAATAATAATAATAATAATAATAATAATAATAATAATTTTTATTTATATCCCACCCCTCTGTAAAATCCTTTGAATGGTGGGAATTAACTATATAGGTACTAAGTAATTTTAAACAAGGATCAAATTGCCTGCTGCCTTGTCACAGACATTGGAGAAGACCTTCTTGGTGGCTGTTCCAAGGCTATGGAATTCCCTTCCACAGGAGGCTAGGTTGGCCCCCTCTCTGTTTTTATATAGCAATAGCAAGTACATTTCTATACCGGTTATCAGTGCACTTAAGCACTCCCTAAGTAGTTTACAATATGTAAGCCAAATGCCCCTAACAAGCTGGGTACTCATTTTAGCAACCACAGAAGGATGCAAGGCTGAGTCGACCCTGAGCCCCTGGTTGGTTTTGAATTCACAACCTTGTGGTTTGTGAATGAGTGGTTGCAGTACAGGCATTTAACCACTGTGCTACCAGGGCTCTGGCAGCTAAGGCCCCTTTTGTTTAAATAGGCATTTGATGATTACTTGGTTGTGCCTAAGGATCTTTTTATGGACGTGTGTGTACAGATTATCCTTACTTTAATCGTAGAATTCAAGATATAGCCATGTAAGTCTGTAGAATCAGAATGTAGAGAGAGATCTGGTAGCACCTTTGAGATTACCATAACTGAAAGAAAGAAGTTGGCAGCATGAGCTTTCATAGATGTAAGTCTACTTCCTCAGATGCACTTTAATGTTTTTCAATTATTTTACACTTTTAAAATTCCTTCTCTTTTTACAGGATGGCTTGTTTAATTGTATTTTAACTTTTTTTATCTTCAGGATTTTAGCATTATCTGGATTTAACTTTGTTGTAAGTCATCCTGGGTCCCATGTTGGGGAAAAAAAGATATGAAATAAAATAAAATATTGAAAAATTGCTGAGATCCTACCTCACATTTGTAACTACACAAAGGTAGTTTAAAATCACTAAGGAATCAACTCCCAGTACCCACTTTAAACTTGAGGGAAACACTTTGAGCAATGATGGGGCAGGTGAATGGAGCACTGTAGGATGTGAATAGGCTCCTTCTTCTTTTGGGGAAACCACATCATCCTGAAACCTCATCATCCTGATGAGGCAGACATCCCATTTGCCTGTGCCACAGGTTTTTCCCAACATGGGACCCAGCATGACTTACAACAAATTTAAAGCCAGATAATGCTAAAATCCTGATGATAAAAAGTTAAGTAATCCCTTGATGTATGATTCTGATAATAGTGTTACAAGTATGAATATGTAGCATATATGAATACAGATCAGTTATAGATCTGTAACTCTAGGTTTTGAATGTATAACTGCAATGTAGGATGCAAACCAAAATGAATAAATCAAGCCATATTGATTTAGAGCTAGTGTCTGTGGGTCTTAGCCTCACTGTTGAGGCTGCACCATGCAATAAAATCAGTTGGCGTCTGCCCAACTATCCCAGATCTCCTTTGTCCCATCCAGAGCTGATGGAAGGATGAGGGAAAGAAGAGGGAGGAGGAGGATATCTATAGAATCATTAAAAAAATAGTTGCAAGAGTAATTCTCTTGGGGTCTTTGCCTTCTCCTGAACTTGGGACACTACAAATGTCCTACAAAATAGTAAGGGAATGTGGTAGCTGAAAAGAATGGGGAAACAAAATCATACAATGTGTTATAAGGTCAAAAAAGAAAAACAGCAACCTGGGTATGAGAATCAAGGGATCTGCTGTCCAAAATCATAGCAATTGGATGTGACAAAGGAAATGGATGATGACAGAAGACCAAGTGTTTGTAGTTATATAGTACAAAGTGTCAGGGCCTCAAATCCTGGTGAAAACAACTGTTATTTCCCACTATGAGTCATTACCACAAAAGTGTTTTGGAGACGATGAGACTATGTTCTTGGCATGCATTCATCAGAAGCAGTACCTGAAATTCTTAGTCAAAGCTAGATTTTTAGCTTGGTTTTCTCAATCTTTCCCATAAATGAGGTTTAGATGGAAATGCTGTCCAGAACAAAACATTTAAAAGAAAGTTCATTGTGGGACTGGTAGTGAGTGAGAGGGCTCTCTTAACATAACTCTTTGGAAAAGAAATGGCCACAACTTTATTGATTACAGCTGGAGATACTTGGCCTCAGCATGGGTCCAGATCCAGGCATCAGATGACCTAACTGTTGACCATGGTAAACCCACCCAGTTCACTTGCTGGACATACGAGGGATGATAGCGGGGACTCCACATGGCTAAAAGCCACCTGTCATCTGGAAGTAGGACAAGTTGCTGAATATATGCCCATGGAATGGACTGGGGCACTCTTCAATGAAGCACCTTGGCTGGTCTTGAATTGCTGTTCTGAGACTTTCCAAAAAGTGTGTAAAGCCTGACAGTGGCTTCTGGGGAGGAGGCAGCCACTCAACAAAACATGGCATTGAGCAGAAAGCCCTCTCCACCATAACTGGCTAAGCTTTTCTTCCAGTAAGCAATAAAATGATATGGAATTCATGGGGTTGCCATAAGTTGACTTGCAACTTGAAGGAACATACAAGCACACAATTCATAGAAATGTCATTCTGAAATTAAATTGTATTTTTTGGTGGATGCCATAATGGCTACTCTACTAATTGTTATCTCCATTTCTGAGATGTTAGCAATGCAGGGCTAACAATGATGAGATGTAAGTATCATCAGCAGTAGCAGAACACATTATAAAGCATCCTGGGCATAAAATGCTGTTTTAAAATACTGAAATTCTGGACCATGCCAACAACTATCAGGTCAGAACGCACAGAGAAGCCATCGAAATCCACAGACACTTGGACAACTTCAATAGGAAAGAAGAATCCCTTAAAGTAAACAAAGTTTGGCTACCAGTCCTGCAAAATAGAAAAATCAGCACTCAGCAAATGCAAATGAGAAGCCAACCAGGGTCAAGGGCTTTCCCAGCAGACAATGGTCATCAATTAGCAGACACTAATCTTTGTTTGCATATCCTCCCACCCTGAGGCCCTGCCATCAACAACAGAACAATACAAAGTTTATATGGGAATCACTCCTCCCTACCCAGGGTCTCACAGTATATATAGACCCACTCTCTTCCATTCCAATATTCTCTGAAGATGCCAGTCACAGATGCTGGTGAAATGTAAAAAAGAAACTCTTCTAGAACATGGCACACAGCCCAAAAAACCCATAAAAAAACTATAGAAACTGCAACTGGTTCAAAATATGGCAGCCAGATTAATATCAGGAACATCCAGGTGGGACCATATTACCCCAGTATTAAGGTCCCTTCATTGGCTGCCTATTAGTTTCCGAACCCAGTACAAGGTGTTGGTAATTACCTTTAAAGCCCTAAATGGCTTGGGTCCAGGCTATCTTAAGGACCGCCTCCTCCCGTATAATCCTCCCCGCGCTCTCCGCTCCTCTGGGAGGAATTTGTTACAGCCTCAAAACACGAGGCTGGTGACGACCTCCCAGAGGGCATTTTCGGTAGTTGCCCCCAAACTGTGGAATGGCCTGCCGGAGGAGATCCGTCAATTGTCATCACTTGACAGCTTCAAGAAAGCTGTCAAGACGGATCTCTTCCGGCAGGCCTTCCCGGATTAATTTACCAGCTTGACTCCAGAATCTTTCTCTCCAAGATGCTCCCCTCTTCTATGACCGGGTTTCTTTTTTATGAGCAAGCATCTACATGTCTGCCTGCACTTTGCTCTCTTAAGTACTGTTTGGTACTTTTTTATGGAGGAATTTACCTCCTTATATTGTGTTTTAAATTGTAATAGGTTTAATAACTTTTTAAGGGGGGGAGGGGGAGGAAAATTGTTTTTAATTACTGTTTGATGATTTTATCATGTAAGCCGCCCCGATTGCGCACAGAGGGGCGGGGTATCAAATAAAATATTATTATTATTATTATTATTATTATTATTATTATTATTATTATTATTATTATTGTTATTATTATAGATGTAAGTAGATTTGCACATAAATCTCTATTCACCTTCTCTGAGGCTGAGAGGCAATCTAACCTCATTTTCGAAGGGCATGGTAACAAATTATGTGCCCTGTAGCACTTTCTGAGCATTGCACAATTTTGGGAAAGAAAGAGGGAGAAAAAAATGAAGAAAATACATGAGACTATGTTTGTGCAGCAATAAAAATGTTTGCAAAATAGTCATGACCTGCAAAAACTTTGATCAATTTTTAAAACATTTTTAAAAGAGTGTGGCTTGATGAGTTTTACTTGTTTACATCCCTACAGTTTCACTGTGAGTATGAAAAAAAATCACTAAAACAAAACCTCCAATTTTCTCACCTGAAAGCATGATGTAGTGGTTTGATTGTTGGATTCTAACTCTGGAGACCAGGGTTCGATTCCCAGCCATGAAAACCCACTGGGTGGCCTTGGGCAATCATATGCTCTCAGCCTCAGGGAAAGGCAATGGTAAACGTCCTCTGAACAAATCTTGCCAAGAAAATCTCATGATAGGTTCACCTTAGGGTTGCCATAAGCCAGAAACATTTTGAAGGCACACAGCAACAACAGAAGAAAATATTCTTAATTCTTAGGTGTGATAGTTAAATATACAGGCTGTAGTTCTATATTGTGATCTACAATGTGAACATACTTAATTGTGTAGGAGAAGTGCTATGGAACCCTCCTAAGCAATTGCAAAGATATATATCAGTGCACTGGCAAGAGTGTCACTAGGCACATCAGACTTTATCGATGCACATCAGACTTTACTGATGCACATTGGCACTCTGTGGCATAGTGGTTTGAACATTGGGCTAAAAATCTGATGACCAGGGTTCAATTCCCAGGTCGGCCATGAAACCCACTGGGTGACCTTGGGCAAGTCACATGCTCTCAGCTTCAGGGGAAGGCAATGACAAACTTCCTCTGAACAAGTCTTGTCATGAGAGGTTTACCTTAGGGTCCCCGTAAGACAGAAATGACTTGAAGGCACACAATAACAACAAACTCTGTGTTCCAATGTGCACGTGCAGTTTCCAGTAAGCCCACTAACATAGATATAAGTCCCACATGAATTCCAGCCACAATGATTTATATCCTTGGGTAAAAGCCTCTCCTGGCTGCCAGCAAGCCTACTGCGGATACTGTGGATTTCCTGCTGCTAATGTAAATGCACACACTATAGTAGAGGGCAAACAACAATCCTAGTAGCAATCACTGGGGGATGGGAGAGATTTTTCTCCTCTCCAGCCTATTTTCCCAGGAATTCCTAGATCTTAGCAAGCAGGCATGGGAAGTTTAAGCCCACCCATTCCACTAGAATGTGAGGTGTACGTGTGCATATGTTGTGTCTGTGCACACGCATATGCTAAGGTTGAGAAAATGTAACAGTGTCACTTTTTCTTCCATCCAGTTTTTTAAAACCTCAAGTTCTTCCCACCCCAAGTTGTGATTTGCAATTTGAGAGCACTCTTCAATAATGACCTGAAATGAAATTTTCATCCATCTGCAGCACCCCAATTCCAAAGTATAGTTATTCCCAGCATGAAGGAAGACATGTTGTACTTCCCAGCCATACAGATGTTACAGATGAGGAACGTCTCAGAAAAAACAACAACATACACACCAAGTGTCAACTCTAAATCAGCACAAATATGGTTGAATACACAGGAATTCAAACCAAGGCCCTTTTGTGCTACATAAATATAACATTGTGATTGCACTTTGACTGCCATGGATCCATCCTACATCTGAGAGTTGCAGTTTAGAGAAGGATATTTAGAATTCTTAGAAAGAGAACTCTAGTGTCTCCTTAAAACTATAAACCTCAGGATTCCATAGCATACAGCTGTGACAGTTAAAGTGAAACAAAACTGCTGGAATGGTGTAGTGTGGTTGGACATGAAGAATTAGGCATCAAAAGCATTCAGCCTGGATGGGGCAATTGGTCAGTTCCAGTTTCTGTTTCTGTCAAATGTTTAAAATCTCATATCCTCTCCATCCTAAATCTCAAGGCATTTGTGAATTTTGAAACATTCTTACAAAGAACCAAATGAAATTAAATTCTGCCCCATCCCTAACATGCTCATATCTTCATGTATATTAGGGAGAACATGTTGAACACACAAGGAGTCTGGATTGTGGGGGATAAGTGTCTGTATTAGTGTGAATGTATGCATGACTCTCCATCTCAGCCAACGTTATGAAGTCCAAAAAAGTTGCTTTAACCTGTTGAAAAGTATGCATTGAAAAACCACATAATAGTTTAACTTTTTGTGAGAGCATGAAAAGTTTGAACACTTGTATGTTGGACAAGCTTGCCATCTGCTGGTTAAATCATGAAGGTTCCCCAGCACACAGCCAGAAAAGTTGCAGTTTGCTGCTGCTGTTGTTTGCCTGCCTTTCTCCTATGCTTTATCAGTAGTCTAATACATAGTATTTAAGCTGGATATTTGCGCCCCCCCCCCCACCAATTACATCTAGGAAAGATGTCAACCACTAGCTGCTTTTAAAGCCACTGGTGTACTTTAGCTGTCATGTTGTTATGTGCCTTCAAGTTGTTTCCAATTTATGGCAACCCTAAGACAAACCTGAGTGGGTTCACTTTTATTTTCCTCTAGGGCCAAGAGAATGACTTTCTCAGGGTCACACAGTGGGTTTCTGTGGTCATGCCGGATTTGAACCCTGGTCTTCAGAGTCCTAGTCCAACACATTATGCTGGCTAATACTTTAACTATACATGGTTTTACTCTAGAGAGGCAAATCCTTGATTATTTCATTCTCATAAGTGACAAATCATCATGGTAATTTTCTCCCAATTGCAGGAAAAAACACATATCCCTGCATAGTATTCTCTTTGTATTCTAGCATCCTGAAGTTTTACAGAGGAAATATTCTGCAGAGAAAGACACATTTTTCCTACAAAAAGACAGAAAACAGGTTTCCATTTTCTGCATGGAAAAGAGGGTGTTTTTTGGTGTCTGTGTGTGCAAAACTTCAATCTTTTTAAACATTACAAACTTGTGTACCCCCCTCGCCTTTTACCAGCCTCCACTTTTTTTTTATTTCTATTTTGGTGGTTAAGCTTATAGATCAATACTTTCTTAACATGTTGGGTGTAGCTGGTGAAGCAAGCATATCTACTCTCCTCCTTTCTCTCAGTGTGGGATTCTGGGGGAAGGTGCTGTTTACCTTGCATGTAGGCAGCAGGCACACACAGCTACACTAGGACATGATAGAGTGGAATCCCATCATTTCCTAGCCCAGGCTTTATGGCATTGTTTATTACAGACATACTGCTATAATCTGCCACTGAATGTCTATTTCTCCAGTCCTTCTTCATCATTCTCCCCATACCAATGCTGCTAAAAACATCCAGCTAGACAGATGATAAAAAGTAAAGGAGGGATGGACAGGCCTAAACAGACTTTATTAAAGGCTTTGTAAAGTGAGATGTGTCTGTATTTATTTGAATGTTGTGACCACTGGAGCTTTCTATATCAGGGAAGCAGTGAATCCATAGTAAATTTCAATGTGAATTTGAAAGAAGCTTAGCCCTAGCTCCAAAATAGGTGCTTAGCCCTAGCTCCAAAATAGGTTAATCACCTTGGACAACTCTGTTAGCATCCAGAAGGGAATGACAAGGCTCCTTTGAATAAATCTTGATGAGAAAACCTATGCCAGGGTCACTTTGCATTGGGGTCAACTTGAAGGCACACAACAACAACAAGACAAATAGCCAAAAGAAAAAATTCACAAACTAAAGAAAGATTAGGTACAAGTTATATGAAGAGTATCTCTCTCTCTCTGTCACACACAGATCTGCATGTACACATCTGTACTTGAACAGAATTTTATCAGAGGTTTTAAGGCTTCCATATGGGAAATAAATTTATCTCACCATTCAGATTCTTTACTTGCCACATTTTCTGAACATGGCATCTCCATTCAGTTGCATTATGCTGGCAGAACTTGGGTTGCAGGATTTTATTTCACCATGCAAACAAAAAGAAAGCTGCATGGTGAAGATAGTCCTCCTTTCCACTCTACCTCACAGATGCAGAAAGCATTTGCTCTTGGCCAAAGAAAACTGGCAAATGATGTTCTCATTTTATATGCATAAATCTCCACATGACTGGCACAGTGATGGGAGAAATGAACAGAAGGGAGGCAACAAGCCAGGATCAGCCAGGGTAGTCCAGAGAATGCCATGCTGAGAATGGCTGCTCCAAAACACATCAGTGTGTAACCAGTTAGTGCCTGGGCTGCCAACTGCACCATATGGACAGAAGGTACAGAAGTCTAGCCAATCTCTTGAGCCAAGAGATGACACTCCCTTTGGATCCCATTGCCATGGCCAAGGCACCTAAGATTCTTTTGTTAATGAGCACTTAATATATCTCATTTGTCTACTTCTGCAAGGATGCTACTGGCTTTTTAAATGGGCTTTTATTCTGCCCTGCCTTGCTTGCTTTTCTACACAATCATTACTAACTATCAGGGCAGACTCTGGAGAATAATGAAATCAAGACACTTGTTAAGATCCCAAGGCTGGTACTCCCAAAAAACATCAGTGTCATTGTGTAACTGATGAGTGTTGGTATTGCAAGCATTGGCTTATGTTTAGAAGTCTAGCCATCACAAAGGGCCTGCCATTGAATCAGAGCTACAATTCTCATATATCAAAGGACTGAAAGATAGGCAACAAGAGGTGCTAGTTCTACTATTTCCAGGATCAAGTATCAGACTGGAGAGAAAGATGTGGATTGCAGTTCAAACTCAACCTCAAAAGCCTTGGAGTAATCTTAGAGTGATCATTGTGTCTCAACTTAATGTAAATCATAGGGATATTTTGAAGATCAAATGGTGGTGGTAGGCCAGTTGCTATACTAGAATTTCAGAAAAGCTGCTCTTTTGGACAAGGTATATTGTCTGGAATAGGACACAGAAACAGAATAAAATAACCTTATGGATTAACACATGTAAAACTGAAATGGAATGTAAATAAAGGGCTAATTTCAACTAGAATAGGTCCATTGAAATGGACGGGACTAACGTAAGTGGTGACTAACATGTTCCCATTTATTTAATATTGTGACTAATAGTAGATTTAACTCAGGTTATTAATGTTTCCTTAGCATGGTCTAGTAAAGCTTTTCTTAAGCTCTTTGGTTATGTGCTTTTTTGGTTCTCCCCCTCCCCCAAAGCATTCAAAGGAGTGAAGCTGTATTTCAAATAAAGTTTCAGTACTGAAGCAAATAAGCTACTGCATATGAGAGTAATTTATTTGCTTCAATGGGGGAACTGTCTCTGAAATACAAACCCACTGGTGCCATCATCATCATCATCATCATCATCATCATCATCATCATCATCATCTCATTTTCTGTTCAACAGAGAGCTTGAATTGCTTCTTTTTAATAGTTCTATGTGGCAATAAAGACTAATATTAAATCGAGTCCACAGCTTTATTGCAGGAAAAGAACCTTAAACAAAGCTTCATATGAAATATTGCTATATTAAAAAGAATGATTGTCCTTCTGTAAATTCCCCTGAGCTCATGTAATAATAATAATAATAACACACGCACACACACACACACACTATACACATGCCACACTTTTGCCTTTAAGTCACCTGTTGACTTATGACAATCCTATGTATTTATTGGGGGTGAAGCAGTTAGGCAAGGAATGCCCAAAGGTAGTTTTGCCAGTTCTTTCCTCTGAAATATAGCTCACAGCACCTGGTATTTGTTGGCAATCTCCTACCCAAGTACTAACCAGGGCTGATCCTGCTTAGCTTCCAAGATCAGATGGGATCTGGTGCCTTTAACATATTACTCTAGGAAAAAAC